AAGGGGTGTGTATACAGCTTCAGGAGGATTCTGTAACTGTTGTGTGCAATCTGCCAACTATCTATATGTATATCCCTTAATCATATAATATTTAGTTTTGCCTATTTTTGTAATTTATATAAATTGAATTTACGGGGATATATTATTTTGTATCATTTCTCTCACTACACATGCTTTTGGATTCATCCATGTCAAGAATGTAGTTTATCCATTTCATTTCTTTAGAGAGGGAGAGAGTGGTGAGCAAGGGAGACAGAGAGAGAGAGAGAGAGAGAGAGAGAGAGAGAGAGAATCTTAAGTGGACTCCACACAGAGTTCAATGTGGGGCTCAATTCCACAACCCTGGAATCATGACCTGAACCAAAATCAAGAGTCGGATGCTCAACTCACTGAGCCACCCAGGCACCCCTAGTTTATCCATTTTGAACTGCTGCATCATATTCCGTTGTATGAATATCTGTCAACGTATTTATTCATTCTGTTGAACATTTGCGTTGTTTTGAGTGTGTGTGTGTGTTAGTATTATGAACAATACTTCTGTGAATATTCTTGTACTTGACTTCAGATAAATATGTGTAAGGGTTTCTCTAGAATACGTACCTAGGAATGGAGTTACTGGATGATAGGTATGTGCAAGCTCATGGTTCTGAGATAATATATAACTGTTTTCCAAAGTAATTGTACTTATTTACACACCTACTATTAGTGGGTAAGAATTCCCCTTGTCCATCCTTCTAATTTATTCCAGTTGGCAGGTGTGAAATGGGCCGATCGGCTTTCCTCTTCTGTGCATCCATTCATGTTTTTGCCGACTTTCTCACTCGGTTGTTTTTGCTTTCTTATTTATTTGTAGGTATTCTTAATATATTCTGGAAACTAATTCCCTGTCACTTATATATATTATAAATATCCCCTCCCTGTTTGGGGCTTTTTGCATTATAATTATGGTATCCTTTAATGAACAAAAATTGTTAATATCACAGTTTGCACTTTTTGTGTCTTGTTTAAGAAATATTCCTTTACCCTAATTCCTAGAGATCGTATTCTATATTTTCATCTGAACATTTTATAGCTTTTACCTTTCACTTTACATCTTTAACGAACCTGGAATTTACTTTTGTATATTACATGTATAGCTTGCCTGAAACAATTATAATTTCTTTTTTTACTATGGAGATATTCTATTCCTTTCCGTATCATTTCACTTGTAACTATTTCATTAAGTACACCAGTTTTTATTTTTTATTTATTTTTTTTAACGTTTATTTATTTTTGAGACAGAGAGAGACAGAGCATGAACGGGGGAGGGGCAGAGAAAGAGGGAGACACAGAATCGGAAGCAGACTCCAGGCTCTGAGCCATCAGCCCAGAGCCGGACACGGGGCTCGAACTCACAGACCGCGAGATCGTGGCCTGAGCTGAAGTCGGACGCTTAACCGACTGAGCCACCCAGGTGCCCCAAGTACACCAGTTTTTAAACACAGAGGCCATCATTTTTTTCTGAATTAACTTTGTATGGTGTCTAGAACCACACTGCCTACAAACATCCACAGTTCCTATATGCCATCCTCCACAACCAATGACAGCAATATATCCTAACTAAGATATCTGGGCAAGAGAATGCCCACACCGCCCAACCCCCACCCCAGATTCTATATGTCTCGCATTGGGGCTGCAATACCTTGTCCATGTTGGGGGGGGGAAAGTTGAAAATGCTCTGAAAACTGCAGTGCTTGTAATAACTCTCGAAATTACTGGGCATACTTAGTATTAATCATTAACATCCTCATCAGAGTCTGTCTCAGAGGTCAAAATGCACGACTGATTAGCTATAAGTTGGGATCTAATAAATATTTATTTATAGATGCTGTCATCCAACAGCCTGGAATAGCGGGGGCTCTAAATTCTAAATGACTTGTTAATGAATAAGAGTCTATAAGGTCCATATCTAGTCCTCAGATATAATTCAGAAAAATTAATTGCTATGAAATACCAGCCTGGTTTCATATGATCACATTAGAAGTTATAATAATCTACCAAAGCATAAAACTCACTGTGATAGAGGAGCTGAGAAATTCTCCTGCCCTGACACAAACATGTGGGAGTCTTCACAATAGGAATTTTTCTAGATTGGATGGCTGAACCCATAACTATAGATTTGTTGAATCATAATGTACACCTGAAACTAATATAACACCGTATGTTAATTATACTTCAATTAAAATTATAACAGCCCTACAGTACCATATTTTAGTTTAAATTTGAAATCTCAAAAAAACCTACAAATACTAGCCAAAACTGGTGGAATAACATAGTCATTTCTCAAAAAATTAAAAAATTATGTTAATGATTTTAATGAGATTTTAACTCTTTCACTTAAACATAATTGGGTGCAGCCACAAGAAATAATTGTGCCAAAGAAGAAAACAAAAATTATCAAGTTTAAATAACTGCACTGATATCCCAACTCTTACAAAGCTAACTCTTGATTTAAATAATGCTTCTACATGCCTTGACCATATGTGTTATTGTATTAAACTCTTAGCTGAAACTAACACACTGCAAAACTTGTGTAATTTAAACAGTAAAATTTTCCAGTGACTTTACTCAATCTCTTTCTCCCCCGTTAAGCAACAACAAAAGACACATTACACATTACTTTTGTGAATATATACACATAAAAGAACACAGTTCATGTGTTCATAAAAAGTTCTTGGGGCACCTGGGTGGCTCAGTGGGTTAAGCACCAACTTCAGCTCAGGTCATGATCTCATGATCTGTGAGTTCAAGCCCCACATGAGGCTCTGTGCTGACAGCTCAGAGCCTGGAGCTTGCTTTGGATTCTGTGTCTCCCTCTCTCTCTGCCCCTACCCCACTCATGCTCGCTCGCTCGCTCTCTCTCTCAAAAATAAGTAAACATTAAAAAAAAATTTTTTTAAGGTTTTCACTAAAGATTTTAGCTGTGACAGCTAGTTACAAAGTAATTTAAGGTTTGTAACAAAAAGCTAGGTCTGCTTAGTATATGTTCAGTTACTGGTGGTGAACACTCAGTGAGTATTGGCTGATGCATATATGAATGGATGAAAATATAAGTAAGAGATATCCACATATATATCATATATATCATAAAGAGTATGAAGTAGGTTTAACTCTCTACACACCCTGTCTACACCCCTGTCTACACCCCTGTCTACATACCTGTCTATACATATAATGGCTCCACTTAAGCTATCAGTCTGTGGACCTGTGAGAAGGTCAGGCTTCCGTGAAAACTTGAGCCACCCAAATCCATTAGAGATTCTAGGAGGGAGCAGCTGCAATGAACATGTAGTTTCAGAACGGATGGAACAAGCAATCTGTCTCATAGGGACTGCTGAGCTGACCTTGTAACAGGAGAGAGAGACTCCTCCATGTACCAGGTCAAGTGCAAAGCACTATGCTATTTATTCTGTTTTCAGGGAACAAGACCTAAAGCCAGGCATTGATGGAAACTCTTAACGACTTACCTAGTCTTAGAACATTAGAATCAGGAAAAAGAAAAACTCAAAATCATCTATCCACCACTCACCTAAATTCATTTAATTCACTTCCCCAAGCTACATCTCCAAATGTATAAATGTTTCATTCCTGTTTTAAACACTTGAGGTTTTGTGTTTGTACAAAACATTTTAATAATTTTATAAAATATAACCTCTAAATAGGGATAAACCTAAAAGCCAAAAAAAAGCATAAAATGGAGATTCTGAAAGTGATTATCAATATCTATAAACCACTGTTCTTATGCAAATCAAAGCCGCAATGAGCTATCACCTCAACCTGTTAGAATTGTCATCGTCAAAAACGCTGGTGAGGACGTGGAGAAAAGGGAACCCTGTGCACCGCTGGTGGTAATGTAAAGTGGTGCAGCCACTATGGAAATTAATATGGAGGTTCTTCAAAAATTAAATATAGAATTACCATATGATCCAACAATCCCAGTTCTAGGTATATATCCAAAGGAAATAAAAATCACTATCTCAAAGGCATCTGATCTCCTATGTTCATTGCAGCATTATTCACAATAGCCAAGATATAGAAACAGCTTAAAAAGATTCACAAAAAGATGAATGGCTAAAGAAGATCACATACACACACACACACACACACACACACACACACACACACACTGAAATATTATTCAGTCACGAAAAAGAAGGGAACCCTGCAACAACATAGATGGACCCTGGGGGCATTATGTTAAGTGAAATAAGCCAGACAGAGAGGACAAATATTATATGTGGAATCTTAAGGACAGAAAAAAAAGTCGAGCTCATAGAAACAGGGGCTGCCAGGTCCTGGGGGGTTGGGAAAATAGGGAGAGGTAAAAGAATACAAACTTTCAGCTTTTAGATGAATAAGGTCTGAGGATCTAATGCAAAATACGGTGACCATAGTTGATAACACTGTACTGTATACTTGGAATTTATGAAAAAGAAGAAGTTAAATGCTCTCACCAAAAAGAAAATGATAAATTAAAAAAGATTTTAAAACATTGTTCTTTTAAACCATTGTTCTTTTAAACCAGTGTAGCTTACTATTATGTACCTATGTCTGTTTCTTTAGGTATCTAAATTATTCACAGGGTTTGCAAATATTCTTTATGTGTGTATTATGATTAAAAAAAAAATCTGCCAAGGCAGGTGCAAGGGCTAAAAGAATACATCTTCTGGTTTCCTTTTGTTGTCTCTGTTTAAAAAAAAGGAATCGCCCCTGAGAAAAGCCTCTAAGGAATGCCTCTAGGCGTAGTTTCTGGCATGAAATGGAACAGACTGCTGTACAAAGAGAAAAAGAAAACACACAACAAGGCAAGGTGGACAGCGGTGTGAGTCCTGCAGTGAGGTGTCAGCAGAGGAGGTGTTCCTTTCCTACGAACTGTATAAAAGGTCAGCTCATCCACCACCCAGAGGCAGATTCTGCTCCAGCCATCCTGAAGCTTCAGGTGCTCCCTCCTACCATCTCCAATGGAATTCACCGGCAGAAGCTTCCACAGAAGCCTGAGTTCCTCCTTGCAAGGCCCTGCACTCAGCATGAGAGGTTCCATGTATGGGAAGGGAGGCATGCAGCACTTTGGGGCGGCACCCAGCGTCTATGGGGGTGCTGGAGGACAGGGCATCCGCATCTCGACCTCCAGACCCATGGTGGGCTATGGGAGTGATCTCACCAGAGGAGACATGTTTGCTGGCAATGATAAGATGACCATGCAGAACCTAAACGACCGCCTAGCAAGCTACCTGGAGAAAGTACACTCCCTGGAGCAGTCCAACTCCAAACTCGAACTGCTGATCAAGCAGTGGTATGAAACAAACACACCTGGCATCAGGGACGACAGTGCATATTACCAACAAATAAAAGAGCTGCAAAACCAGGTAAGGGATGATGCCTTTGTTTTCCACTCTACTGCTGAGCTGCACGGTATAGCAAGGGGGCATCTATGTTAGGTGGGTGCAAATAGATGTCAGAAAGCAAATTAGGCTGAAATGCTATATCTATAAAAATGGTGAATTCCATAATCTACCCTTAGTGGTTGAATAGCTGATTACATAACTGGATGACTGTAAATCATACTTTGTTAACTTTTTACAATATAGTTACATGGAAAATATGAAAATGTTACCCTACAGTCTTGTAATCTGTATTTTTGTCACAGTTTACCAGGACACAGCTAAGTGGATAGTAAAAAGTTTTTCTAAGAAGAGCTAAAATTTTTATGTGATGATATATCTTTTTTTTCACCCAGTTCCCATTAACTTGTGAATTCCCAGTCAATGCAGAGATGCTCCTCCTTTAATTTATGTAAATTTGTAATATTAGTATTAAGACACCATATGAAAAATTTCAATGATGAAGTGACCCAGGGTGGAAATAAGGGGAAGGGATGTAGGTATTCGTGAGGTCCAGATTTTTCAATGCCCTGTTTAATAATCCCATCATCAGTTCAGAAGCCGCTTCTACAGCAATAAGATGTTCTATTGCCCCCAACTCAAATTTGTTGCAATTATATCACAGCCTACTCCCACATTATCGGAGAAAGGTGGAGTTCTATTTATCAACTGTGTGTAATAAAGGGAGTGAACTTTGCTCCAAAGTGAAGGGCAATTATGACACGAGCACTTGCTCTGCTTTAAAATTTGTATCTAATCGAGGAAAGAATCCCTTTCATTTTCATTCCTATTTTAACATTCATATTCCTTTATAGCAAAGGCCACCTCCTTGGTGTCCTCAGTATACACAGAAAGGCAGCTGGATCTGCTGAAAGACACAGACCATTGTAACATCTTCTACAAGCAGCCTGGGTCCATATATATCTTAGGGAACGCACCCATTCGGGAACCCCTTTTTTAAGACCGAGGGCTTATCCATCCTGACAGCTTCAGTGCCCAACACAACTCTCACATAGCAAAGTGTCCATTCATTCAGCCAATAGTTGGTAGATACTAAGTGCTGGACACCATGCTGAGCATTGGGGAATATGGAAACATAATGTGATTCGGAGGAACAGACACAAAGGCTTAATCCACACAGAGGGATAGATGTTAGCAAGGAGGGCCCTATAGGGCAGTGAGAACACAGGCAATTCATCCAGTTCTGCCTTGAAGAAATCACTGAGACTTCCTTGAGGCAACGATGTAGAAGGTGAGACATGGAGGAGAAGTTGTTCACCAAGTGAGAAAGGCTAACAGGAAATTCTCAGCAGGAACAACATCAAGGGGAAGGCACTCGATAAAGTTTGATGGTTTGAGTTGAATGAAATTCTTCCTTTCGTAAAACCATAAGAAAGCTCACCTAACCCTGGGACCAGAGTTGTACTTTATGACTCCATTATGTTAAATGCCCATATCATTGCCCTTCCTATTTTCATGGTTGAAAGGAACATCATCTTTGATAGAATAGTGGTTGTATCTGAAGATAAACTCGATCATTTGAAACTTTTTTCCAGTTGAAAATGTCATTCTTTCTCATGTATTTTCCAGATTAAAAGTGTACAACTGCAAAATTTTCACTGTGTCCTGCAAATTGATAATGCCAAACTAGCTGCTGAGGACCTCAGGCTGAAGTAGGTTCTAGCACCATGGTAAAACTTCCTGGAAAAGGATTCCTTTTAGCTGTGCCTAATGACATTCAGCTTTCCACATTCTTGTTGGTAAAGGAGCTACCTTAAGTAATTTCAGGATCTGGGAGTTTGAAGGGTGGTAGAAGTTATCTGGTCCAGCCCAGCACTCAGGGCTAGACTTCCCACTCCCACATTCTTAGTATTTTTCACTGGTTAGCTCTAGTCGCTAGAACATTCTTTTTTAGTAACCCTTCATCTACCTTTTCACCCACTGAACCTAATTCTGCCCTTTGGAGTGACACCAAAGCAATTTACGACTCCCCTTCTGCATGGGTGCCCTTCTCTTATCTGAAGCAAGACATTTGTCTAAGCTCAGTGATTCCCCAAGTGAGTCATCCATGCTTCTTGGAGTGCCTGCAAATGTACAGCCCAAGTTCCAGGGGTGACCTTTGATGCTTCTGAGTCTGCTGGTGTTTTACAATAGGGTCTGCCCAACCAAATAAGTAGGACTATGATTAAAGCAGCTCAGATTGTGTTCACTCTCTTGCAGCCATATCACACTACATGTGATCAGAACTGTTCCTCATAAATGGCTCCTATACTAGGGCTTTCTCATCCTGAATGTGTACAATGCATTGGTACTAAAAACGCCTTTGTGGCTTAAAAGGGTAGCATTTTAATGCTACAAAGGATCCAAAAGGAGGAAATGGGAAAGCAAATCTGAAGACTAAAGCAGTAAACATTTGTTCATTCCAATTATACCAAGTCAATATCTGGGTGTTCCACTGCATTATCGTTTTTTTTTAAGTTTTGCTACTTTAATAAAAATGGAGTAGGTAAGATTTTGGAAGAGAATCATGAATTTTTAAGATAACTCACTTTGGATGCATCTGCTTACAAAGTAATAAAAATAATAAATTGATCACGTGCATTCATTAAGTAAATCTAACCATTATTTAATATCAATAATGAGAATCTTTTGCTGACACATTAATTAAAGCAAGTTATTTTTTTTTTTATTTCCTTAAAAATATATTTGAGAATTTAGGAACTTTTTTTTTTTTTTTTAATTTTTTTTTTCAACATTTATTTATTTTTGGGACAGAGAGAGACAGAGCATGAACGGGGGAGGGGCAGAGAGAGAGAGGGAGACACAGAATTGGAAACAGGCTCCAGGCTCTGAGCCATCAGCCCAGAGCCCGACACGGGGCTCGAACTCGCGGATCGCGAGATCGTGACCTGGCTGAAGTCGGACGCTTAACCGACTGCGCCACCCAGGCGCCCCGAGAATTTAGGAACTTTTAAGGGTTATTTCGGATTGCTTTTTTTACCAATCACTCCAAATTACAGAGATTATATTATGGAGCAAATTATCTGATTCCTGGGTTCCCATGAACATTTTTGATATGTATAAAGAAGGATACAATGTATTGAAATTGATCTCCTCACATACCATGTAAAAATATCTCATTATATTAGGACTATCTCTTCTATAATGGCTTCTGGAGGACTCAATTATCTCTGCATACCAATTAATTCACAGGTATGAGGCTGAGAGGGAGACGCGCCTGACAGTGGAAAGTGATATCCAAGGCCTGAATAAGGTCTCGGCTGATCTATCCCTAAGTAGAACAGACTTGGAGATTCAAATTAAAGAACTGACTAAAGACCTGGATCTCCTCAAAAAAGAACATCAGGAGGTGAGGCCATGCTCAGAAGCAGTGTTGGGAATGATAGAAATGGCTCTAATAACGATAATAAGGAGGGGGGAGTTGGTAAGAAGATGACAACAATAAGGGTATGAGCCGTCAGGGTTCAATGACTTAGAGCAGTACCCGCACTACAATAAGCCCTACCTAAATTATTTTCTTTCGTTTTTACTCATTCCCCATGAAAGAAGCCATAAGACTTACTCTTTCTGCCCAGCCTCATCTGAGAATGTGCTTCAGACTATAATTAGGATTTTCACTCTTGTAGGAAGTAGACAGCCTACGCAGACATTTGGGCGATACTGTATGTGTAGAAGTGGATGCTGCTCCAGGCCTGGAGCTTGGCACCATCATGAATGAATTGAGGCAGAAGTACGAAACAATAGTCCAGGAGAACCTTCAGAAGGCCAAGGAACAGTTTGAGACACAGGTAATAGCATAATTCCAAAGGGTAAGCAACTATGTAGAAGCTGTCCTTCAAAAAAAAGATAACTCACGTTCTTTCTTTTCTCTCTCTCCTTACTCACTTTTTTTTTCTTTTTTCATTTTTGGAACTTTAGACTCAACTTCTGCAGCAACAAGTCACAGGGAGCACTCAAGAGATCAAAGACAATGAGGCTCAAGTAAAGGAGCTGAGACACACCTACCGGAACCTAGAGATCGAACTCCAGTCCCACCTCAGTATGGTAAAGCACATCTAACTTCACACTCTCAATGTAGTGTATGCTTACTAAGTGCCTGTGTGAGGAACTCTGGGGATGCAGAAAACTCTAGGAAATAACCCCTCACCCTTGCAGGGCTGGCAGGGAAACAGGCCAAACCACCGATTATAATTAAAACACAGAAAGAAATCAAGGACAAGGGCAATGTACTGCAAGGATGCAGAGGGGCAAGTAGACCTGGAAGAAGACCTGGAGGTCTACCTGAGTAGACATCACAGAGAAAGTGGCCTTTAAACTAGATCTTAAAATGTGAGATGAATGTGTAGTTGAACAATGGGGGTAAAGACATTTCAGGCTAAGCAAATCAGTCAGCTCCTGTCATGGTGTCTTACAATAACAACACTACCCCATCATGGGTTGGCTGCAGCTCTGCTCCATGGCATTTCCACTGTGGGGGTAAGGCTAAAGGAGGAGACCCTAGCCAGGGCATGCCAGTGTTGTTGTAGAAAGAAAAAAGCAATGGCCAGATCATGTGATAGCTCCTAAAGCTTCTCAGAAAAGGCATTTGTCAGCTTCACCTGCATTGCATTAGCCAAAGAAAGTCGCATGACCAAGCCTCCTGTCAACAGGGATGAGGAAACCTAATCCTCCACTTGGAGGGGCACCACAATCACAGGGAGAGGAGGCAAACGTTGAGAACAATAATACAACATACCACAGTAAGACAACAGTGAGCGCAAGGCTAAAAACGAACAAAAGACTCCAGGAACTGGGGATCCTAGCAGCTGGCTGAGGTCGCCTAGATGGAAAGAGGGGGAAACAAAGCTAGAAATAAGAGTCATGCCCACAATGACTAGCAGTGGAAGTTCTCCTCAAATGAAATTAAAATTGAGCCACCTCTTAAGTTTTCAACTAAGAAACATCCACTTTTTCTTGTGCTCATAGAAAGAATCTTTGGAGCGTACATTAGAGGAGACCAGAGCTCGTTATGGTAGCCAATTGGCCACCATCCAGGCACTGCTGAACTCCATAGAAGCCCAAATGACACAGATTTGGAGTGATACAGAACGCCAGAACAAGGAGTACAATATCCTCCTTGACATAAAGACCCGGCTTGAGCAGGAAATTGCTACTTACCGCCGCCTTCTGGAAGGAGAAGATGTCACGTAAGGCTCTTAGAATCAAGGGATATGTGCCAGTGTCTACATGCTGTGCTATTTTAATGTCTACATGTTACACTGTCACTCATTCCCCAGCACCAATGCAATCCCTAGCACAAAAGCAATTACACATGCGCCACCAACAACAAAACAAAAATATACCAAAAGTACACCCATCCTCCAAATACCAAGTATGTGTAGGACCGACTTAGAAGATGGTTCTACAGTAGATGATACAGATTATGCTTTGCTAATTTTTATGATTAATACATAATTGAATAACTTTTAACACAACAATAACTTTTAAAAATCCTCATTGAGAGGTCATGAAATGAACAACAGAGTTTGAGACCAGTTTGAGAATCATCAGTATTGCCATAGCAACTGTCTTCAACTACCACACCCAAGAAACTCAGTAAGAGAACACAAGATTTAAACTTCCACTGTAATTTTGCTATTTTTATTACAAAAACTTCTAGCACAGGGTAAACAGGTCAGTTTTGGAGCTATCTATCTATCTATCTGTATATATAGAGAGAGATAGATAGAGATAGATATCTGTAGATAGATAGATAGATAGATAGAGATATAGAGATATCTGTATAGAGAGAGAGAGAGAGAGAGAGAGAGGGAGAGAGAGAGATGGTAAAGGGGGGAATGCAAACACAGCATTAAAACACACATCACGCAGACTTTATTTTGAAACAAAAAAGGCAGGACAGTGCTTCATTTTCAAAATGGTGATAACACCTTTTCCTGTCTCTTTTTCTTTTCTTAAAAAATACAGACAGACAAACACAACTATAGAGCATCTGCCGAGCACCCTGGAGGAGAAAGGTAAGTGTTCTAATTTCACACATTTCCTGTAAGACTGAATTCTCACTTAGCAGCTTACCACTTATTAAATGCCACTGGTGAAAAGTAAAGAGAGATCGGTTTTCAAGTCAGCAGATATTACCCTAGGGATTCTAAAAATCAGGCAGGTTATATAAAGAAACCCCCAACATGGGAAGTTTGTCATACTCCAACAACAGGGTAGTTTTCTCGGCCCAAGCTATTACCATTCTGAGACATCCTGGGATCATGAAAGGGAAAAAAAATAAGATGAAAAAGTACATTTGGCTTAATTCGATATTGTATCTTTCTCTTTGGGGGTGGGGAGAGAAGAAAATGTGTGAATTTGGAGACAGTGACACATTTTCGGCATTTATTTATAAATTTGACAAGATTATTTAAGAAAAAGAATGGGTTTCTTTTCTTTTTAGGAAAAAATACATGTAAAATCATGATGATTTAGAACTGAATATTATAAGTCAGCAGAGGCATGTTCCCGAATTAACATTTTATACTTAAATCTAAATTCAGATGTGAAGAGAAAAAGGAAGATTAAGACGATTGTGGAAGAAGTGGTGGACGGCAAGGTTGTGTCGTGTGAAACCAAAGAGATGGAAGAAGATGTGTAAACAGTTGCCGGGAGATGCTGCTGAGGGTTTGAAAGACATGTAGACATAATTTTTGCTCCCTACAAGAAAGTGGCCATCAGAAAGCGCTATTAAAAATTTGTAGTGATCAGAAGCGGGGGAAAGCCCATTTATCAGTCTCTATAACTGAATATAGATGTTTTATTCACAGGAGTTGCAAACTGCCTACAAAAATAAAACCCAGTGAGCACTAGGACATTTAAAACCTCATTGCCACCATCTTTACCATGAAACACATTGGGTATAAGCTATAGACCACCTAATATCAATTTGTTAACGTTCCTGAAAATTATAGCACATTTGAATTATACTAAACTTTGCAGAGCAGAGGAGTCCCTGCAAATTGCAAATAAACCACTCTCTAATCTTTCCTGTTTCCGAATTACAAAATCTCCTTTCGGGGGCCTCTGGATTCTTAATTGAGCCAATTTCTTGGTTAATTTAATTGGATTTTTGATATTGGTATAATCCTGCTAGCTTTGAGTTATATCTGCTTTCTTTTCCGTTGTCTTCATTGCCTTTTAAAACTCACCTCAGCTCAGGGCGCCTGGGTGGCACAAGTCAGTTAAGTGTCCGAATTCAGCTCAGGTCATCATCTCATGGTTCGTGAGTTTGAGCCCCAAATCGGGCTCTCTGCTGTCAGCACAGAGCCCGTTTCAGATCCTCTGTCTCCCTCTCTCTCTGCCCCTCCCCACTGCTTCTCTCTCTCTCTCTCTCTCTCACTCTCACTCTCTCTCACACACACACACAAAATAAATACATAAACTTAAAAAAAAACAACTCAACTCAGCTCTTCGAATAATTTGAGAGTCAGACTCCGATTTCAAATGCTGAGCAGAATAAGAATGAAGCACATCAGGCTTGAAATGGGAATAGATTAGGGGCACAGGTGAATATCAGACTCTTGATTTCAGCTAATGTCACGATCCCAGGGTCCTAGGATCAAGCCCTCGAGCCCTGGGTTGGGCTCTGTGCTGAACCTAGAGCCTGCTTAAGATTCTCTTGTTCTAGGGGCGCCTGGGTGGCTCAGTCAGTTGGGCTGGCCCCACTGCCGCCAGGTCAGATCTCACACCGCGTGAGTTCGAGCCCCGCGTCAGGCTCTGTGCTGACAGCTCAGAGCCTGGAGCCTGCTTCGGATTCTGTGTCTCCCTCTCTCTCTGCTCCTCCCCTGCTCATGCTCTGTCTCAAAAATAAATAAATAAAAACTTAAAAGAATTCTCCTGCTATCTGTTTTCTCTCCCTCTGCCTCCATCTCATTCATGCTCTGTCTCAAAATAAATAAAAACTTAAAAAAATTCTCCTTCTATCATCTTGTCTCTCTCCCTCTGCCCATCTCCTCCATTCATGCTCTGTCTCAAAAATAAATAAATAAAAACTTAAAAAAAAATTCTCCCTTCTCTATCTGTCTCTCTCCCTCTGCCCATCTCCTCCACTCATGCTTTCTGTTTCTAAAATAAAAAACAAAAAAAATTTAAAAAAAGAAATGGCAATAGATTAAACACAAAATTAGTGAAAACCTTCTCAAGGCAGAATGCTTCTCCTTATGACAAAACTGCATAAATCATCAGGTGTTCTCTTTCTTTATGGGGTGAATGTATGTTATGAAATATTTCTCACTATTTTTTTAAATAATACACTTAATGAGATAAAATTCATACACCATAAAATTCATCCTCATAAAGTACACAATTCAGTGGTCTTCAGGATGTTCACAGGATTGTGCAACCATCATTACTGTCTAGTTTTAGGACATTTTCATCGTTCAGAAAAGAAACCCCAGAAGTGCCTGGTGGCACAGTTTATTAAGCGTCAGACTCTGCATTTTGGCTTAGGTCATGATCTCAGGGTCATGGGATCGAGCCCCTCAGCACAGAGTCTGCTTTGGATTCTCTCTCTCCCCTCTCTCTCTACCTCTCTCTCTGTGTGTGTCTCTCAAAATTAACATTAAACAAAAGAAAAGAAACCCCAGTAGGAGTCACCCCCCACTTCTCTTCCCCCCAGTTCTGGCAACCAAATCCACTTCTTCTATGGATTTGCTTACTCTGGACATTTCAAATAAATGGAATCATATAATTTGTTCTTTTGTATAGAAATGTTTGTAGCAGCATTATCCATAAGCCCAAAGTAGAAACAACTCAAATGTCCATCAACTGATCGATGGATAAACAAAATGCAGTAGGTCCCACAACAGAATATTATTTGGCAACTTATACACAGTGCGAAGAGATGAACCTTGAAAACACTATGCTGAGGGAAGTCAGACCCAAAAAGATACACACTGTATTCTCACCCATTTTGCATTTCAGTAAGCAGTAACTGCCTTGCAAATGTTTACAGGAAAAATCATTTTGCCCTCTCTCGTCATATTCTAGTAAATGAATAGCTTGGATTTAAATTTTGATACATAAGTTTATAAGTAAACAGGATTTTGAGTGTGATTATATTGAAAATAATAATGTGATTTGCTGACAGATAATAGTATCTACCATTTATTGAGCACTTACTATGAGCTAAGCAGTATGCATGGCATTTTATATGCATTTCTCATTTAATCCTCACAATGACCCCATGAAGTAGAAGTTATTAAGTTGAATCATATGATCTTGCCAATACGTGGTCATTTTTTACCTTTAAAAAGTAGCAATTTCATATGGGTTGGCCTTATTCTATTATCCCCATTTTATGAATGAGGATTATATATGAAGATATGAAATAAGTCTCCCAAAGTTACAGTTACCAAGTCATGGAGCAAGACTGAACCTCAGGACTGTTTGTCTAAAGTCATGATACCCTTCTAAGCAATTAATTACACAACGGTGAATTCTTTTTCTCCTACAAAAACACATTCCAAAATAGTCTGTAACTTTGACATGCAAATACTGAAACTGAGTCTGATTAGTAAAAACCCTACAGGAGGTGGGGATTGAAATTCACTAGGCATGGCCATCATCAGTATGACAATTATTGCCTACGGCCCTAGGCAATAATGATACTTTGTTCAAAAGTTAGGAATACTACTAACTGAATTTCCTATCATGAAAATGAAAACTAGTCCTTGCCTTTGGGTCAATCCCTAGTTTCTTCCAAACAATCTTTCAAAGAAAGCAGTGAAACCCTACATACATGTGGAACCAGATGGCTCTACCTCTGTTTCTTGCAGTAGTTACTGTGTGAAGGTGAAGTGTTAATCTCCGTATCTATACTTCTTATACCAGCTAGGACACGGAACAGCATGACCCTATTTCTGACAGGCATACAGATCCAGAGAAGATCTGCAGTCCCTAAATATGGGTCTCTTTATCACGCATTGGAATTTCATGACTTCATACGAAACCATCAGTGCCGAAGTGGTCCCACCACACTGCGAGAGAAACCCCAGAGGGGAAGCCAGGACGGACTTGGGGGATTACACCTACTAAGAGCCTTATAACATCTAGAAAGAATGACATGGAATGACATAAAATCACAACATGACCAGTGGACACCCTGCGCTCTCACCCTTACTGACTTGGGGACAGTCTCAAATAACAATTCCAACTTAAAGTATTAGCTAGTGATTTTAATTTTTTAATTTCCCTTAAAACATTTGTTTTCTCTCCCCTAGACTCACTTCTAAGATTCGCTTCCCAGAAAAGGCAAGTATAGATACTTGAGCACAATTATTTTAAATTTACATATAGGCATTAGAGGTGGAAAGTATACATGTCAGCACAAAACCGGCTCCAAGTTCAAGAATTCAAGTTAATCATATTCCCATATCACGTGATGATATCACTAAGTTACAAGTCTGCACCTGGCACATTCCCTCCAGTCTGTAAGCAAGTAATAGCCTGTTTTCATTTCTATGGCAATCACAATGGACTCACCCTTGGTGGGGCAGGTTGGGGGGGAGCTGCTTGTAAGCAAAAATTAATGACCATAACATCAAGCTCCTGTGCAGGAAGTGCAAGTTGAACTAGTACTTTATATGATCTCTGACAATGCAGTTACATGTCAAAAGTGTAACTAAAACTACATTTGCCCACGCGTTTGCAGGGTTTCATGTGTGGTGTCATTCTTTCGGTCTCAGCCTATACAATGAGAAATGAAATTCAAGGAGAAAGCTTTTTTGAAAAGAAAAGAGTGAAAGCTCCAGGTTGATGTGCAGGGCAGAAACCCAGTCTCATGGCTGGTGGCTCTGAGTGACCCTCTGTCTTTTCTGTTTTCACCATAAGAAGCAGGGTTATGTTGTCTATAAAACACACTGCAACCTGAATCCTGTCTTTGCCACCTCCTGGCTCTGTGGCCTTGAATAAGTCACTTGACGTCGTGACCCTCAGATTGCTCCCTTGTAAAATGGGACAAAAGTATCCAACTGAAGAGGTTGCCACAAAGGTTAAAAATAACGTCTGCAGTTTACCTGGCCCACTGTCTAGAACGTAGTAAGCCCACTATCACTATCAACGATTCAAACAAAGACAATCTCATTCAAAGTGCTTGTAATACAGATTAAAGGAACCTTTGGTAACAATCTCCATAGGAGGCTGAGGCCCCTGGTTATTTCCATTTAACACGTTTCCATTTTCTCAAGAAATGAAACCAATGGATTATGGCCTCTCTCATCAAGCAGAGTCTGCATTTGATCACTGCATCTTTTCTATATTTATTGTAAGAATATGTAGTTTCTGCAAATGTCTTGCTTAAAACCCCTTTATTTGGAAATCCCACCGGCTTGCTCTTTGTGATGTGTATAGGAGGGGGGAAAATACATCTCTTCACATGTGTCCCTTCCATCGTAAGGTAAAAGGAAGTTGTAACTGGATTTCACCCTGGGTTCATCATTCCTGTCCCTGGGAAAGCGAAAAGAAGGGTCACACAGTCCTTCCATTTGCCAGAATTGATAATGAGTATTCCCAATAGAGGTCTGAAATGGGCTTCAGGCGTAAACCCTCTGCATTTGCCCCCGTATCACCAATGGGCACTGCTGGCTCTGGCTCAAGAGCTCAGTGGGTTAAGCGGCCGACCTCTGCTCAGGTCATGATCTCGCATTTGTGGGTTCGAGCCCCACATTGGGCTCTGTGCTGGCAGCTCAGAGTCTGGAGCCTGCTTCGGATTCTGTGTCTCCCTCTCTCTCTGCCTGCCCCTCCCCTGCTCATGCTCTGTCTCTCTCTCTCAAAAATA